ACTATTAAGGGAACTTCTCAAAAACTTCTCCGTCGACAAATTCAGTGGTGAAGGGTACGACGACTGGTCCTGGAAGATGCAATTATATTTTCGGCAGATATGACTTCTCAAAGTCATGATCGGTAGTGAGAAACGCCCCAGCAACCCGGAACTTCAGGGCGATTGGGACGAACGTTCCTCAGCTGGATACTACATTCTCTCTCAAAGCTCAGACCTCGCCCAATGCCAGCACATAATGCATCTCCTTCCAGAGGATGAGTGCGGACCTAAGGCGTGGGCCGTACTCAAGGACCTTCATGCACCTACCTCAGTTGTAGCCACGCTCATGCTAGAGAGGAAACTCTCCACCCTGCGCCTTAGTAAGGGAGAACCGGTTCAACCCGTCCTAGGTAAGCTTAGGGACCTCTACGCCAAGCTAGCTATTGCCGGCATCACCTACTCCGAGTCAACGAAGTGTGTAAAGATGTTGTCGCTGCTGCCGGAGTCTTGGATGGTCTTCACCAGCGGCCTTTGTCTTCCCCAAAACCAAAGCCTTTGGACCTTGGAGTGGATCCGCACAAAGATCTTCGAGGAGGACTTCCGGAGGCGTCAGTTATGGGGAGGTGAAGAGGGGAGCAGCAGCTATGCTATGCAAGGAGGAAAACGGGGAGGAGGCAAGAAAGGGCAAGGGGCTGGGAGAGGAGCATCAAAAGACGAGGAGCCTTCTAACCAGCAAGGCGGCAGAGGAGCAGGGCGTGGAGGTGGCAGAGGTGGTAGAGGTGGAAGAGGTGGTGGAAGGGGACCTAGAAGAATGGAAGGCAAGTGTTGGTACTGTGAGAAAGTGGGTCACCCATGGTTTAAGTGCAGGACCAAACCCACCTGGTGGACCCCCTCCAATAGGACTCAAGATGGGAGCGGCGCCGGAGCTGTTGCCGATGATGAACCGGCTGAACAAGAGGAGAGGGAAGCCGGTCAGTTCTTCCACGTTGGTGAGCCGGATGAGGTCGCAGTAATCGCCCATGCTGGAGCCGAGCTGCACTCGCTCAACACGTGGATTTTGGACACAGGAGCAGCATGGACTATGACGCCAAGGGCTGATCTCCTGGACAATGTGGGAGCAGCACCAATTGCTAAAGTGAAGTCGGCTTCCGGGCATGCGCTCAAGGTGACGGGGGCGGGGCGCGCCGCATTCAAGGGAGCTGACGGCAAACCGGTGGTGCTAAGTGATGTGCTGCTAGTACTTGACTTGAAGGCAAACCTCATCTCCCTGAGGAAGTTGGGCAAGTGTGGGGTGAGCACAAGTACCGAGGGTGCCAAAACATACAAGGGGCAGCTGGGGAAGCAGATGCTTTGAAATTTGCACGAGAATAGGGACATATGCAAGTCCATGTGGCAGCTGCCGGTGGTGCCCTGGGATAAGGGGAATGGTTTCCAGGGGGAGTGCAACGCTGTAGCTGCAGAGGAGCTGAAAGTTTCAGCAAGGGGAGGTGAAACGGACTGGATGACAGCCCACCGTCGCCTCGGGCACATTGCTATGCCCGCACTGCAGCAACTGCACAAGGATGAAGGGGTCAAGGGGCTGAAGCTGACAGGTGCAGCAGCAACCCACAAGTGTGAAACTTGCCTGCTGAGCAAGTTCACTCGGTTCCCATTCCATGCAACTGACGGCGGCGGCAAGAAACTACTGGAGCTAGTGCATATGGACGTGGTGGGGCCGCTGCCGGTGATGGGGGAGCGTGGTGAGAAATTCTTCCTCACCATTGTGGATGACTGGAGCCGAGTGACATGGGCATATCCCATCAAGAAGAAGGACCACGTGCCATCCATCATCCGTGACGAGTGGCTGCCGTTGGTGGAGAAGCAATCTGAACACAAGGTGCTGCGGGTCAGGACAGATAGGGGTGGAGAGTTCTTAGAGGAGGAGCTGACTGCATGGCTGAAGAAACAGGGAATCATTCGGGAACTCACCACCTCCTACACACCTCAATCCAAGGGCGTAGCAGAACGGGCAAACCGCACGATCTTGGAGACAGCACGGGCCCTTCTAATTGAGTCAGGTTTGGGGAACTCCAAGTGGCCACATGCTGCGCGCCACGCCACGGTGGTGAAGAACAGGGTGTTCACCAACGTCGGTGGTGAATCATGGGTCCCCATGGAGAGGTGGCTTGGGAGGAAGCCGCCCATTGACATGCTGCGTGTGTTTGGCTGCATGGCTGTGGCTCATATCCCCAAAGCACATCGCAAAAAGTTGGGTGCAACAGCTGTGTGGTGTGTGCATCTGGGTTTGGCAGCGGAAAGCAAAGGGTGGCTGCTATGGGAGCTGAGCAAAGGGGTCCTATTTGACAGTAGGGATGTCAAGTTCATGGAAGACATCACCTATGGGAGCTGGTCCAAGCAGCCTAAGGAGCAGATTGTGTAGCAACTGCAGCAAGCAACCATGGGATTTGAGGTGGAGGAGCAGTGGGTTGAGGAGGAGACTGCAACGGTACACGAGGAGCAAGGTGCAGCAAAGCTTCCGGTAGTCAAGAGTGTGGAGCCAACAGGTGTACCGGAAGAACCTCAGCCCATAACACGTGTGATTCCTCCCACCCTTCCCCCAAGGAGAACCCAAACCAAACCCTAACCCACAGAACGGACCTTCTCACCCATGATGACACGGCAGATGTGAGCTGCTGCCTTGAAGGCAAAGGCAAGGGGTGAAGGAGGAACAAGGGGAGAGCAACAGCAACTTGATGCACTGCTGGTGCTGGAGAGCAGCAATGATTCTGATGAGGAAGCAGAGGAGGAGGTGTATTGCTTCATGGCACCTGCACCAACTCAGCCACTGACCATGGAGGAGGCTCTGAACGGACCGGACAGGGACAAGTGGTTAGTGTCAATGGATGCTAAATACAACAGCCAAATGGAGAATGGGACATGGGAGCTGGTGTCACTGCCAATGGGAAAGAAAGCCATAAATTGTGGCTGGATTCCTAGGATCGCTTCTGAGCAAGGCATAACCACTCAGTGGGTGGACTTCCTGGAAACTCACTTCCACTACGACATCGTCTACAAGCCCAGGCTACACAACAAGGCAGACGCGCTGAGCCGCCCCGGACATGTAGCAAGCATCCAGCTCGACGGGATGAACCCTCTGCTCAAAGGTCTATTCCAACATAGATACTCCGTGGACGCAGAGATCGCTACAGCACAGACTAAGAAGCTGTTACAGTGGGAGAAAGACTTAGCAGCAAGGAAGGGTTTAGGAAAGATTTGGGTACCGAATTACGCCCCGCTACGGCAGATCCTATTAGAGGAGTTTCATGACGTACCATACACGGGACACTTCGGGAGCAACAAGACGTTAGCGGGAATAGCGGAGTATTACTACTGGCCAGGGATGGCAGCAGACGTGCAGCAGTTCGTCACCTCTTGCGACACGTGCCAGCGGATGAAGAGTAGCAAGCAGAAAAAAGCAGGGTTACTTCAGCCTCTACCCGTACCGGAGCAGCCATGGCAGGTCGTTAGCCTTGACTTCATCACAGGACTTCCTTCGACCTCACGGGGGCACGATTCCATCCTCGTAGTGATCGATAAGTTCTCCAAAATGGGTCACTTCATACCGACCAACGCCACAGCTACAGCTGAAGCAACTGCTCGCCTCTTCTTCGACCGCATCATCACCATCCACAGCATCCCCGCTACACTCATCTCAACCAGAGACCCAAAATTTGCCAGTAAGTTCTGGAAGGAGCTCATGGGACTGTTGGGGACAAAACTTGCAATGTCTTCAGCATACCACCCCCAGACTGACGGACAGACAGAGCGAATCAATCAAGTGGTTGAACAGTTACTGCGCACAGCTTGCAAGGACGACGTCAGTCACTGGGACAGACAGTTACCGACCCTAGAGTGCGCTTACAACAACGCGTCACATGCGGCCACAGGGAAAACTCCTTTCTTCCTGTGTTACGGACGGGAACCACTTACACCACAGCAGCCAACCACACCGGCACACGTCCAAGCCGCACATGACTTCATCACCACCATGCAGCAGCTATGGGAGAAGACTCAGCGATGACTCACCACGATGCAGACCTCCCAGAAGTAGTATGCCGATCGTCAGCGATGAGATCACTCAGTAGCAGTCGGAGATCAGGTGCTTCTTGACACGCGCAACTTGAACCTGTCTCACCTACCCTCCAAGCTCCGGCCTCACTTCTGTGGTCCTTTTCTCGTTGAGGCACAGGTGCCACCAGTAACATTCCGCTTGCGCTTACCTACTATTTGGAAGCTTCACAACAGTTTCCATGTCCAGCTACTGAAGCCCTACAAGGACCCCAACCAACAGTTCCAGGGACGGCAGCTACCGCCACCACCACCTGTTCTTGTACAGGATGAACCAGAGTATGAAGTAGAGCGCGTTCTCACTCATCGGTGCCGCGGCAGCAAGACCCTCGAGTTCCTGATCCGCTGGAAGGGATACGACCCCACTGAGGACAATTGGGTTGCAGAAGCTGATATGGGCAACGCACGCCGTGCTCTCAAGGACTATCTTGTTAAGCAGGGTGTTTCTCACGCCACCCAGCTTTGAGGGGGAGGCGTGTGAGAGTACGACGACTTATGCTGGCTTTGCTAGCTTGCCTGGACTTTATTATGCTATATCTACCTTGGGTTTTATTTATCATGGATAGATATGCTTGATTTCCTAGGTTAGGTGCATTCCTATATTTTATTATACTTATAGCACCGAACCAGGTTACATGTACCGCACTAAAGCCTATTCGGTTTCCACCGAATTGCTTTCTACTGAGTTCGGGAAGGTTCTGTTCGGGACGCTTTGCGACCCTCAGAACATTCGCATAACACCTGGGTAACTGGCCTTGTGTCGAGACTATATATAGCCTCGTGTTCTACCCAGGTGGATCATTCAATTCAAACTCTCTTCTCTGAGCTCGATCCTAGATCCTCACATGGGTGATCTGCAAGCCAAGATAGCTGCGCAACTCACCCAGGTCAGTGTAGTAGCAAAGACCAAGTCGTCAACATACACAAGGATGTAGATCGGCGGCAAAGAAGGGTCGGTGAGCAGAAAGCGACAGGTCAGCAGTCGAAGGAGTAAACCTAAGAGCCGCAAGTGTCGTCCTCAGTGTGTTGTGCCACTTACTGGGCGCCAGGCGGAGACCGTAGACTGGACGCCGACGGCTCCACTGCGTACCCTCAGGAAACGACCCAGTGAAGCCAGGTGGGCGGCGCAGCCAGATCTCCTCGTGAAGGCTGCCCTGCAAGAAAGCTGTGGAGAACTCGAAGGAATGCAGCTTGTAGTCACGCTGTGCTGCAACATGCAGTAACACCCGAAGAGCAGTCATCTTCGTGGTGGGGTAGAAGGTATGGAAGAAGTCGACCCCCTGTCGCTGACTGAAGCCTCGAGCAACATAATGCGCCTTGAAGGCAGGCGGAGAACCCGACGGCCGCTTCACTCTGAAAATCCACATGCCATCGACAATGTTCGCCCCAGGATGGGGAACCTCGTCGACGTAGGTGCCTGTAGACTTCCAGGAAGCCATCTCTGCGTCCATGGCTATCTGCCACTGAGAGGAGTACGCACCCGTGATCGCCTCTGCGTAAGAGCATGGGGTAGGGATGTCTTGTGCATTCGCGTCTCCCTCAGGGCAAAGCAGCATGGACGCAAGATGAGGTAAAACTGCCGCGAGGCACTCAAGCTCAAACTGCCTGTCCTCAAGGACGTCACTGCAAGGGGCGAGCTCACCCCCGGCGGACGGAGGACAGTCAGACTCAGACTCAGTAATAAGACTCGTGAAGTAGTCGAGACAACAGGTAGCAGCAAAGTCAACGAGCTCAGTGACTAAGGCATTCGCAGTAGCAGACTCAAAGGAAGGGTCAGTGACAAGCGTAGCCAAGAAGTGCGTGACAGTAGGACTAGCAGCTTGTGCAAGGTCGGACTCGAGGTCTAGAACGTCAATAAGAGAGGATGTCGGAGGAGACGGCATAGCATCATTCTGTGGAACAGAGGAAGGACGAAGTGCCATGGTGTGTGTGCCAGGGAGAGGTGGAGGACGAGGACGACGAGCACGACTAACAGTGTGAACATGTGAGGCAGGACGAGACTCAGGCTCACAACACTCTGCAAGGGAACCTGTCTGCACAGCGTACGGGGAAGGAGCAGGTAGTGGGGAGCCAGTCAGTAACTGTGGTTGTGACTGGTCAGGCAAAGGACACAGGAAAGGCCAAGTAAGGCAAGTGGAAGACATAAGACTAAGAAATTGACGAAGTGCCGAGTCAGGCGGCGGCAGGGACGACTGCGGCTGCGGGTAGGAAAACGGTCGTACAATACCCACAGTACCATAGCCTCTAGCTCCAGGACCTCCAGCACCTCGAGCTCCAGCACCTCCACAACCAGTAGCTCCAGTACCTCCAACACCAGCAGCTCCAGTACCTCCAGCACCTCCATCTCCAGCACCTCTAGCACCGGTAGCTCCATTACCTCCAGCACCAGCAGCTCCAATACCTCCAGCACCTCTAGCTCCAACACCTCTAGCACTAGTAGCTCCAGTACCTACAGCACCAGCAGCTCCATTGCCTCCAGCACCTCCGGTTCCAGCACCTCTAGCACCACTAGCTCCACTACATCCAGCACCAGCAGCTCCAGTACCTCCAGCACCTCCAGCACAAACAGTACGAGAACCTCCAGCTCCAGTAGTACCAGCACGTCCAGCTCCGCCATCGGGGCTGTTCCACCGGATAGCCTACTTGCGAAGCCACTCCGGCGAGAGAGTCTCCTACCGACGTGCACTAGTACCTCCAGCCCTAGTGGCTCGAGCACTAGCACCTCCAGCACCTCCAACTCTAGTACCACCAGCACCAGCACCTACAGCTCCAGTAGCTCCAGCTCCAGCACGTCCAGCTCCGCCACTGGGGCTGCTCCACCGGACAGCACACTGGCGAAGGCACTCTGGCGAGAGAGTCTCCTACAGACGTACACCCGTACCTCTAGCACTAGCGCCTCCAGCACCAGTACCTCCAGCACTGCCAACTCCAGTCACACCAGTACTAGCACCACCGGCTCTAGTACCTCCAGCACCCCCTATAACCGTAGGACACTGAGCACCCGCACCCCCAGTGTCACCACCTCCTACAGCGCCAGATTCCACAGCGACGGGCTGCAGAGGCGGTGAAGACGGTCGAGGCGGAAACCCAAGAGGGGCCACCAAGCGCGCTGAGCGGTAAGGGGCCATGGTGTCGGCAGCAGTCAGGACACCCCCCTCAGCTGGGCTAGAGGTATCGGAGGAGACCTCCAACGGTGCAACCAAGGGGGACGGATCAACCTGGGATACACCTAAGGGGGTAGGACCCTGCTGGTGGAGGGGGGCTACCGGGGGGGGGGGGGGGGCGGGGGTTGGGTACCAGGAAGAGAGGTGGGAGGGGCACGGAGGAACTGCGGTGGGGGTGGAGACGGTAGAAGCAGTCAGACTCGTCAAGTGTGATGTCCTGCAAGAAGAGTGCGGAGATAACTACTACAACGGGAGCTAGACAACGGGCTAGGCACGGGTGCTCATGTCATCTCTGCGTTCGTCGGTCCTTAGTCGTTTTCCTAGTGCACACACAGCTTGCTAGTTCACGGGGCAAGTTGGCAAGAGTTTCACTAGAGAAGGTTGACAACAATGGTACAGAAATGAAGTTGGCATGGCAAGACTACATCAGAGCTAGCACTCAGGTCGGTCGACTGCCAGCGCAGCATGGTCGACCGCGTTCCAGCACGACTTGGTCGACCGCGCTCCAGCAGTGCAAAGTCGACGGCGTGCCAGCGTCGCAGGTTGGCGGCGTGCCAGCGTTGCTCCCGCAGAACAGCAGCGCACCCGCTTCGCAGGTGCTCGCAGACGATTGGCGGGCTGAGCCTCGTCACCTGCACAACGCACACACCAAGTCATCCTCGTGCTGACGACTCCACCTGATCCGCCATGTCGACCTCGGAATACCACCACCGAGTTCGGACTCGCCAACTTCGCCTGGGCGACCGTCGCACTCATTCGCAGAACCTCGTCACCCAGGTAACCTGGTCGACCGGGCAACCATGTCGACCAGCTGCTCCCGTATGTGCCCGTCGACCTCCCAAGTCGACGACCACCACCTCGTCGACCTCACCAGGTCGACCACACCCCTGGTCGACCAGCTCCAGGTCGACGTCACTCCTGGTCGACCAGCTCCAGGTCGTCAGCCGACCACCCAAGTCGGCTACCAGAAGTTGGCGTCACCAAGTTGACGTCCTCCGCTGGTCGACTTCCCAGGTCGACCTCCCGGAAGTCGGCTTCATACTAAAGTCGACCCCGTGCAGTGGTCCCCGTGCAGGTCGACCTCCTCGTCAACCAGCTCGTCCACTGCTGCAGGTCGGCTGCTCCCCTCACATCCGACCACGAACTCGGCTCCGCCCAAGCGAGGACGGGGCCAACACACAACTCCCGTTGACACTCCCCTGCCGCGTTCACGCTTGGGCCCCCAGCCCACACGGTAGTACTCCTCGGAGAATAGCTCGTCGACGTGCACCCAACTCACGGCACGTCGTCCACCGCACCAGCCATGCAAGAGGGCATGGCACCTACTGCTGCACGTCGTCAACTTCGTCGCCCACGTCGGCCAAGCGCACCTGGCCGATGGCGACGGAGCACCGGTTGAAGGCCGGATAGTGCAGCGCCTTCGTCAGGAAGTCGGCCGGCTGCTCAGCGGTCGGGATGTACCTCAGCGAGAACTTCCCGCGCTTCACCATGTGCTGCAGCCAGGCCTGTCGCTGCTCCATGTGCTTGAGGTTGCCCGTCAACCCCATGCCCTCGGCGACTGTGATGGTCGACTTGTTGTCCACCCGAAGGACGGTCGGCTTCCCAGCATCCAGCTGCTGGAATTCTGCGAGGAGGAAGCGAAGTCGGCGTCCCTCCTTGCCGGCTTCGGTGGCTGCCACGTACTCCGACTCGGTCGACGACAACGTCGCGCACTTGATGCGCTGGCTCGACCAGGAGACTGCGGCCCCTCCGTAGACGAACACGTAGCCGCCCGTGCTCGTCCTGTTCTGCTTGTCACCGACGTCGTCGGCGTCCACGTAGCCGACCAGCTCCAGCGACTCAGATCCACCACCGAACTCCAGGGCGGTGTCACGCGTGTTGGCGAGGTAGGCAAGGCAGCGGTCGACCTCGCGCCAGTGCTGGTCGCTCCTCACCGTGAGGCCGCTCCCCAGCTTGCTGCAGGCGAAGGCGATGTCCGGCCTCGTCGTCGTCGCCGCGAACTGCAGCGAGCCGACCTTCTGCCGGTACTCCTCCTCTTGTCGCTCCTGTGCCTCCTCATCGTCGAAGGTGAGCTCGGCGTAGGCGTCGACCGAGACCGGCGTCTTCGGGGTGCGCTTGGTCTGCTCCTCGTCGATGAAGCGCCTACGCAGCTTGTCGGCGTAGCCCTGCTGGTGCAACCACAGCTTCCCCGCCGACCTGTCGCGGACAATCTCCAGCCCAAGGTACTTCCGCACCGGCGAGATTTCACGCAGCTCGAAGGCAGACTCCAGCAGCTTCTTCAGCTCCTTCAGCATCTCGGTGCTGCTGCTGGCGGCGAGCAGGTCGTCGACGTAGACCAGCACCCAGCAGGCCACTCCGTCGTCGCCGACCTTGAAGTACAGAGCCTCGTTGACCTGGCTCTTCTTCCACCCCGCGTCGACCAGCACGTCGTTGAGCGCCAAGTACCATAGCAGCGGCGACTGCTTCAGCCCGTACAGGCTTTTCAGCAGCTTGCACACCCGGCCGGTTCCGTCGTTGAAGTAGTCCGGCTGGGACATGTAGAGCACCCGGTCGAGCTTGCTCTGCAGGAAGGCGTTCTTCATGTCGAGCTGCATCAGGTTGAGGTTGAGGACGGCGACGATGCTGAGGAAAATCCTCAGCGTGACGTAGCTGCCCACCGGCGCGAACGTCTCGTCGTAGTCAGTGCCGTACACCTGCGTGAAGCCCTTCACGACCATCCTTGCCTTCTCGCGCTCGACGGTGTCGTCGACGTGGTACTTCATCATCAACACCCACCGGTTCTTCATGATGTTGACCCCCGGCGGGCGTTCGACCAGCTCCCAGGTGCCCATGTTGATGAGGCTGCGGATCTCCTCCTCCATGGCGGCCTTCACCGCCTGGCCCTTCCAGCTTGCCAACGCCTCCTTCACCGTCATGGTCGAGATGTCCCAACGGTGCTCGGGGTCGGCCAGCATGTCCGGGTCGAGCTCCGGAAACTCCTCATCCTCCTCGGCGTCGTCGTACAGTAGGTCGTCGTCGTCATCCTCCACGTCGTACACCGTGGTGAAGGCAGCGGGGACGAAGAAGTCCGGCGGCCGCCGAAGTCTCTCCGACTTCCGGGGTTCAGGCCGAACTTCCACCACGTCGCTGTCGGTGGACTTCTCCCCTTCGTCACCGACTTTGCTGCCCTCATCGTCCTGCTGCACCTCGGTCGACTTCCTGGTCGACCTCTCCCCTGTGGTCGGCTCCCCTGCCGGCTGCCCGGTTGCCGAGTGCTCCGTGGTCGGCTTCATTACTGCCTGCTCCACTGTCGGCTGCTTCTCCTCGACCTGCTCTTCCCCTGTCGACGTCGGCTTCAATCCCATGTCGACTTGCCGCTCGTCACGTCGGCCACTGGCGATGCCCTTGGCCGGCGCCGAAGGCGGCGTCCCACTACTCCCCTCATCGCCGGAGGCCGACACCGAGGTCAGCCCGCGCAGGTTGGCCAGGAGGGGAGGGGCAGGGGAGGGAGGGGAAGGAGGACGGACGTCCTCGTCGTCCTCAGCAGCAAGCCCACCGACCTCGGCGAGCAGGGGTAGCGTCGCCGTTGAGGTGTCGGTCGGCGGGGTGGTCGGCGTCCGTCCTGACACCGGCCCGTACTCCGACTTCCACACTTCCAGCGAAAGGTCCTCGTAGAACACCACGTCCGACGTGGTGACCACCCGGTTGGCGTCGATGTCGAGGAGCTCCCAGCCCTTGCTCTCCGCCGACACGCCGAGGTGAAGGCCCCACCTGGCCTTCGGCTTCAGCTTTCCGCCACGCTGCTGCTCGGAGACCAGGAACTGTGCCATGCAGCCCCACACCCGTGCCATCGACACGTCGGGCTTCTGCCCGGTCAGCAGCTGGTACGGCGTCGTCCCCGGCGGCAACGTCGACCTCTCAAGGCAGTTGCGGACCCAGACGGCCTGCCGCATAGCGAGGTGCCACCAGTGGTGCTGCAAGCCCATGTGCAACAGCATCGTCCGCACCGACTCCACCACCGTCCTCATCTCCCGCTCCGCCATGCCGTTATGCTGTGGGGTGTACGGGCAGGTAAGGTCGTGGACGATCCCCTTGCCGTCCACGAAGTCGGTGAACTTCTTCCCGAGGAACTCCCCTCCTCGGTCGGAGCGAAGCATCAACACCGACTTCGTCGTCTGCCGCTCCACCAACACCAGCCACTTCTGGAACTCCAGCAGCACATCTGACTTCTTGGCGACCGGCCTCACCCACACGAAGCGGGTCTTGCGGTCCTTGAGCAGCAAGAAGTACAAGCTGCCGTCCTTGGCAGCCACGCGGAACGGCCCGCACAGGTCGATGTGCACGACGGCCAGCACGTCGTCGGCGTCGGAGCCTTGGTCGGGGAAGGTGTGCCGCGCCAGCTTCTCGCCGATGCACGAGACACACGGTGAGTCGGTGCCCGTCGCCGACTTGAGGTCCAGCCCAATGGCGACCTCGTTCTTCGCCGATCTCATGATGGTGTCCATGCCGACGTGCGCAAGCCTCGCATGCATCCTGTCCGGCGTCGACTTCGTCTTCGAGACGATCGCCCGCAGGGCCACAACCTCAGGAGAGGGCGACGTCGACCTCGTAGAGCAGGGACGCAGGTTGGTGCAGAGGACACGCCCGGAGTATGTCGCCTGGCCGGGCACCTCTCCTACTGCCGAGACAAGCAACATCCCGTCGCCATCCTCCTGCAGCTTCACGCCGTGCTCCTTCAGCTGGCCGGACGACAGCAGGTTCGCCCGCACACCCGGGACGTACAGCACGTCGGGGATGAGCACCTGCTTCCCGGCCTCTCCTTGCAGGGCGACGGTGCCACGGCCCAGGACGTCCTGTAGCGCCCCATTGAAGCCGCGCACGTGCTTGATGGGGCCACTCGGCTGCAGGTCGACGAAGACTTCTTTCGTCCCCATCAGGTAGTGAGAGCAGCCGCTATCGAGCAAGACCACCGCCGGGTTCGCCTG